ATATTTTTAGGAGACCATCTTAGGCGTGGATTTTTTAAAAAATATTTATAGGAGACCATCTTTGTCGTGGATTTTTTAAAAAAATATTTTTAGGCGACTCTCTTAGGCGTGGATTTTTTAAAAAAATAGTTTTAAGCAACTATCTTAGGCGTGGATTTTTAAAAAAATATATTTTTAGGCGACTATCTTAGGCGTGGATTTTTTTAAAAAAAATATGTTTAGGCTACTATCTTAGGCGTGGATTTTTCAAAAAATATGTTTAGACTACTATCTTAGGCGTGGATTTTTTTAAAAAAATATTTTTAGGCTATTATCTTAGACGTAGATTTTTTAAAAAATATTTTTAGGAGACCATCTTAGGCGTGGATTTTTTAAAAAATATTTTTTAAAAACTATCTTAGGCGTAGATTTTTTAAAAAATATTTTTTAAAAACTATCTTAGGCGTAGATTTTTTAAAAAATATTTTTAGGAGACCATCTTAGGCGTGGATTTTTTAAAAAATATTTTTTAAAAACTATCTTAGGCGTGGATTTTTTAAAAAATATTTTTAAACAACTATCTTAGGCGTGGATTTTTTAAAAAATATTTTTAAACAACTATCTTAGGCGTGGATTTTTTAAAAAATATTTTTAAGCCACTATCTTAGGCGTGGATTTTTTAAAAAATATTTTTTAGCCACTATCTTAGGCGTGGATTTTTTAAAAAATATTTTTAAGCCACTATCTTAGGCGTGGATTTTTTAAAAAATATTTTTAAGCCACTATCTTAGGCGTGGATTTTTTAAAAAATATTTTTAAGCCACTATCTTAGGCGTGGATTTTTTAACTAGGGATTAAATATTTTTAAGCCACTATCTTAGGCGTGGATTTTTTAAAAAATATTTTTAAGCCACTATCTTAGGCGTGGATTTTTTAAAAAATATTTTTAAGCCACTATCTTAGGCGTGGATTTTTTAAAAAATATTTTTAAGCCACTATCTTAGGCGTGGATTTTTTAAAAAATATTTTTAAGCCACTATCTTAGGCGTGGATTTTTTAAAAAATATTTTTAAGCCACTATCTTAGGCGTGGATTTTTTAAAAAATATTTTTAAGCCACTATCTTAGGCGTGGATTTTTTAAAAAATATTTTTAAGCCACTATCTTAGGCGTGGATTTTTAAAAAATATTTTTAAGCCACTATCTTAGGCGTGGATTTTTTAAAAAATATTTTTAAGCCACTATCTTAGGCGTGGATTTTTAAAAAAATATTTTTAGACTACTATCTTAGGCGTGGATTTTTTAAAAAATATTTTTAGGAGACCATCTTAGCCGTGGATTTTTTAAAATATATTTTTAGGAGACCACTTTTGGCGTGGATTTTTTAAAAAATATTTTTAGGAGACCATCTTAGGCGTGGATTTTTTAAAAAATATTTTTAGGAGACCATCTTAGGCGTCGATTTTTTAAAAAATATTTTTAGGAGACCATCTTAGGCGTGGATTTTTTAAAAAATATTTTTAGGAGACCATCTTAGGCGTCGATTTTTTAAAAAATATTTTTAGGAGACAATCTTAGGCGTGGATTTTTTAAAAAATATTTTTTTAGGCGACTATTTTAGGCGTGGATTTTTTAAAAAATATTTTTTTAGGCGACTATTTTAGGCGTGGATTTTTTAAAAAATATTTTTAAGCAACTATCTTAGGCGTGGATGTTTAAAAAATATTTTTAGGCTACTATTTTAGGCGTAGATTTTTTAAAAAAATATTTTTAGGCTACTTTCTTAGGCGTGGATTTTTTAAAAAAATATTTTTAGGATACTTTCTTTGGGGTGGATTTAAAAAAAATATTTTTGGCGCTTTTTTTGTTTGTTTTCAAATTTCGCTAATCCACTTCCAATAAAATTGTAAATTGCATTTCATATTTCATTTTTTAAAAAATATTTTTAGGAGACAATCTTAGGCGTGGATTTTTTAAAAAATATTTTTTTAGGCGACTATTTTAGGCGTGGATTTTTTAAAAAATATTTTTTTAGGCGACTATTTTAGGCGTGGATTTTTTAAAAAATATTTTTAAGCCACTATCTTAGGCGTGGATTTTTTAAAAAATATTTTTAAGCCACTATCTTAGGCGTGGATTTTTTAAAAAATATTTTTAAGCCACTATCTTAGGCGTGGATTTTTTAAAAAATATTTTTAAGCCACTATCTTAGGCGTGGATTTTTTAAAAAATATTTTTAAGCCACTATCTTAGGCGTGGATTTTTTAAAAAATATTTTTAAGCCACTATCTTAGGCGTGGATTTTTTAAAAAATATTTTTAAGCCACTATCTTAGGCGTGGATTTTTTAAAAAATATTTTTAAGCCACTATCTTAGGCGTGGATTTTTAAAAAAATATTTTTAGACTACTATCTTAGGCGTGGATTTTTTAAAAAATATTTTTAGGAGACCATCTTAGCCGTGGATTTTTTAAAATATATTTTTAGGAGACCACTTTTGGCGTGGATTTTTTAAAAAATATTTTTAGGAGACCATCTTAGGCGTGGATTTTTTAAAAAATATTTTTAGGAGACCATCTTAGGCGTCGATTTTTTAAAAAATATTTTTAGGAGACCATCTTAGGCGTGGATTTTTTAAAAAATATTTTTAGGAGACCATCTTAGGCGTCGATTTTTTAAAAAATATTTTTAGGAGACAATCTTAGGCGTGGATTTTTTAAAAAATATTTTTTTAGGCGACTATTTTAGGCGTGGATTTTTTAAAAAATATTTTTTTAGGCGACTATTTTAGGCGTGGATTTTTTAAAAAATATTTTTAAGCAACTATCTTAGGCGTGGATGTTTAAAAAATATTTTTAGGCTACTATTTTAGGCGTAGATTTTTTAAAAAAATATTTTTAGGCTACTTTCTTAGGCGTGGATTTTTTAAAAAAATATTTTTAGGATACTTTCTTTGGGGTGGATTTAAAAAAAATATTTTTGGCGCTTTTTTTTGTTTGTTTTCAAATTTCGCTAATCCACTTCCAATAAAATTGTAAATTGCATTTCATATTTCATTTGCCCAACAGATGTCGAAACCCATAAAATATTTACAAAAATGCAATAATAAACATAATTTCATTTCATTTTTATTTATCTATGCTTCTTCCCCTTTTGCCACCCTTCCTGCTACCATGGGTCTGTGCCATTTCAAGTGAAATGAAAATTGTAATTAGCTAAACATGTTGTCAAACATAATTTCAAAAGCGAGGCGGGGGGAGAAGCTGATGGCGGAGTAAGGCAAGCGGGACTGGCTGGTGATGGCTCAATATCATGATTATAATCCCAGCAAACGGCAATGCTGAGGTGCCAAGATGAGATGTGCATGAAGATACAGGGCTGGGTAGAATGGGACCACATTTATCACATTAAATTATGAGGATAGAGTGATGAGGAAAGGGCGGGGTATTCAGGGGGGTGTTAGAGGATTTTTTAAACAACAAACGTGGATTTTTTAAAAATTGTTTTTTCAAATTAACAACAAACGTGGATTTTTAAAAATTATTTTTTCAAATTAACAAACAAACATGGATTTTTTTAAAATTATTTTTTCAAATTAACAACAAACTTGGATTTTTTAAAAATTATTTTTTCAAAGTAACAACAAACGTGGGTCTTTTTAAAAACTATTTTTTTCAAAGTAACAACAAACGTGGATTTTTTAAAAATTATTTTTTTCAAATTGACAACAAACGTGGATTTTTTAAAAATTATTTTTTCAAATTAACAACAAACGTGGATTTTTTAAAAATTATTTTTTCAAATTAACAACAAACGTGGATTTTTTAAAAATTATTTTTTCAAAGTAACAACAAACGTGGATTTTTTAAAAATTATTTTTTCAAATTAACAACAAACGTGGATTTTTTAAAAATTATTTTTTCAAATTAACAACAAACGTGGATTTTTTAAAAATTATTTTTTCAAATTAACAACAAACGTGGATTTTTTAAAAATTATTTTTTCAAATTAACAACAAACGTGGATTTTTTAAAAATTATTTTTTCAAAGTAACAACAAACGTGGATTTTTTAAAAATTATTTTTTCAAATTAACAACAAACGTGGATTTTTTAAAAATTATTTTTTCAAATTAACAACAAACGTGGATTTTTTAAAAATTATTTTTTCAAATTAACAACAAACGTGGATTTTTTAAAAATTATTTTTCCATGAAATTTACGTTCTTATATTTTTTTTAAATTATTTTTTCATGAAATTTACGAGCTTATATTTTTTAAAAATTATTTTTCCATGAAATTTACTTATATTTTTTAAAAATTATTTTTTCAAAGAATCGACAAATGTGGATTTTTTTTAAATTATTTCTGAAATGTTCCCTTTTCTCGATCCCTCTCATTGCCCAGGATCTGTGTGCGTAGCTATGGCTGTATTATTTGTGTAGACGCATAATATGTTGTCTTATCGATGCCAGAAGGTGAGAAGTGCCCTCAAACACAGACACATATAAATCCAGGTGTGTATGTGTTTACAAGAGCATAAAGATCTCAATGTGTGGGAGTGTGAGTTTTATAATAAATAATCATTGTTAAAAGATAATTTACAAATAGCTCTGTAAGACAATTTAATAATTGGCAATAAAAATTCAAATTAAGGGAGGTTCAGAGATGGCGATATGGGGTGAAAGGGAGGGTAAATTTTTTAAAATATTTTTCTATATTTTTTTTTTATATTTTCCAAAGCGGGCCAAATCTAATTTTTATAAAATTTGTATCATATTTTTTGGGCTCCCTCTGAACCCCCCTAATACTGCATGCCGCCAATATTGATTTGTAAATGTTTATTTTATTATCTGTAAACAATTTGCGATTTGTTGACTGACCGAATATTGAATGGACTTCAATTAAGACATTTTCAAAACAAAACAGAAAATAAAAATCGAAATTCATTTCAAACAAAGAAGAGCAGCAACATCACGACTGAGTGACGGTTTGTTTGGGTGATCGCACACAGAGCATGAAAGTACAATCTCACTCCACCTACAACGTAGCAATGATACGATTGGAGAGGCGCGATGAAAGTTTTATTAGCATTTAATTGTTGCATTATTAAAGGCGGGTGATTACAAAAATAACAACAACAAACTAACGCCAAAATAAACAAGTTAAACTCCCACTGGGTCTATGTGGAGGAGATAAGCCAATTTGGTGATTGGGGACTGACAACAAATACACCCCAGAAATATGACATCGGAATTTTCAAGGGGTCAGTTTCTATTGGAAATTTGAGAGCAGAGGATGTATTAGAAATTATTTGAAACAAAAATCATGAAATTTGAAATTGTAATTAGTGCCCTAATTTTAATTTTGCAACCTCTATTGGGGTCTGGCACAGAAAATCCCGTGGTAAAAATAAATAATAAAGATTTCAAGGGAACCATAAAGGGTGTTGAGAAACGAAACTTGTCGAATCAAACATTTGCGGCATTTTTGGGGATACCCTATGCCAAGGCCCCACTGGGTCCACTGAGATTCCGGGTAAGTCAGATTCCTTGTTAATTCCTTGGAAAAATAATTTTTAAAAAATCCAAGTTCGATAATTTCATGGAAAAATAATTTTTAAAAAATCCACGTTTGATAATTTCATGGAAAAATAATTTTTAAAAAATCCACGTTCGATAATTTCATGGAAAAATAATTTTTAAAAAATCCAAGTTCGATAATTTTATGGAAAAATAATTTTTAAAAAATCCACGTTCGATAATTTCATGGAAAAATAATTTTTAAAAAATCCACGTTCGATAATTTCATGGAAAAATAATTTTTAAAAAATCCACGTTTGATAATTTCATGGAAAAATAATTTTTAAAAAAACGTTTGTTGTTAACTTCAAAAATAATTTTTGAAAAATTCACATTTGTTGTTAATTTCAAAAAATAATTTTTAAAAAATCCACGTTAGTTGTTAATTTAAAAAATAATTTTTTAAAAATTCACGTTTGTTGTTAACTTGGAAAAAATAATTTTTAAAAAATCCACGTTTGTTGTTAACTTGGAAAAAATATTTTTTAAAAAATCCACGTTTGTTGTTAACTTGGAAAAAATAATTTTTAAAAAATCCACGTTTGTTGTTAACTTCAAAAAATAATTTTTAAAAAATCCACGTTTGTTGTTAACTTCAAAAAATAATTTTTTAAAAAATCCACGTTTGTTGTTAACTTCAAATAATAATTTTTAAAAAACTTGGAAAAATAATTAACTTCAAAAACTAATTTTTAAAAAATCCAGGTTTGTTGTTAACTTCAAAAACTAATTTTTTAAAAAATCCACGTTTGTTGTTAACTTCAAATAATAATTTTTAAAAAACTTGGAAAAATAATTAACTTCAAAAACTAATTTTTAAAAAATCCAGGTTTGTTGTTAACTTCAAAAACTAATTTTTAAAAAATCCACGTTTGTTGTTAACTTCAAAAAATAATTTTTTAAAAAATCCACGTTTGTTGTTAACTTCAAATAATAATTTTTAAAGAACTTGGAAAAATAATTAACTTCAAAAACTAATTTTTAAAAAATCCAGGTTTGTTGTTAACTTCAAAAACTAATTTTTAAAAAATCCACGTTTGTTGTTAACTTCAAAAAATAATTTTTAAAAAATCCACGTTTGTTGTTAACTTCAAAAAATAATTTTAAAAAATCCACGTTTGTTGTTAACTTCAAAAAATAATTTTTAAAAAATCCATATTTGTTATTTACTTCTAAAAATAATTTTTAAAAATCCACTTTCGTTGATTTGAAAAAAAAAAACAATTTTTAAAAATCCACGATTGTTGATTTTTTTTAAAAAATATTTTTTAAAAAATCCACGTTTGAAAGTATAATTCTCATATCATATTTCCAGGATCCTCAAAGGCCGGATCGTTTTGAGGGTACCTACGAAGCTATACACGAAGGTTTTGAATGTCATTCGATAACTGCCACCAATGCTTCGGAAGATTGCTTGAACTTGAATGTCTACACGAGAAATGTAAGTATTGGGGATCTCTGACCGTATGGAAGATCTCTGAGGACGGGATCTTCCAAAGGACCTTCTATCCACAGGTCCCGTGTGGGAAAAAATATTTCCCAGGATATTATCTTAAGATGAAAGGCCTTTCAGGAACCTACTATGGCTAAAGAATTCATTAGAAGGTCTTATGAACAGAATGCCCCTGATGGGTCTCTTTTCATAAATGTCCTATTTCACCCTTCCATGCCCTTTAAATAAGGCTTCGTTTGGTTTAGGACCCTTAAATATTTCTTTCATGGATTGATGGCTACTAAGAAACAAACCTGGAAAACCTTACAGGAGAACATTTATGAATAGAGGCCCATCAGAGGCTTTCGGTCCAAAAGTAGGTCCACGTAGATACATAAAATAGCCGTGTTTGGACCAAAAACTTCCTTTAGACATTTCTGCCGAAGAATATGGTCAACTTAGGACTTCCTCTTTGCAACACCACAAGTTACATCCTCGACCTAGTGGGGTTCCAAAGAGGAGGGCCAAAATTGAGCTCCATTTATCGGCAGAAGAAAGTCTAGGACAGAAGTTCCTAAAAGTCCTTGGAGGTCACTGGAAGTCCTTTGAGGATGATTTCATTTTTCTTTTTCCCCTTCCAGCTCCAGCCACACCAACCCCTGCCCGTTGTGATTATGATCCATCCGGGTGGTTTATATTTGGGCAGCTCGAAATGGTTGGAGCCCACATACCTCATGGAAAAGGACCTGGTTTTGGTGACATTCAATTATCGTCTGGGCACACTAGGATTTTTGAATCTAGGCTCTCAGCTAATTCCTGGCAATGCTGGTTTCAAGGATCAAGTTCTGGCCCTGCAATGGGTGCAACGTAACATCAGGAATTTTGGTGGTAATCCCCAGGATGTAACCCTAATGGGTTACAGTGCCGGGGGTCTGAGTGTGTCCTTGCATTTGGTCTCTCCCATGTCAAAAGGACTCTTCCACAAGGCCATCATGATGAGTGGTTCCCTGCCACCCCAGGTGGTCATGCCAAAGGGGCATCAGAGATATTTGGCCATAAGGCAGGCCAAGAGATTGAAATGTCCTGGATTTGAGGAGTTGGAGGAAATTCAATGGAGTCCTCAGGAGCCAAATAAAATTCCAGACTACCAGGACATCAAGGATGAGGATATCTTAATGTGCCTCTCCAATTACTCGGGCAAGGACATTGCAGCCAAGTTAAGGCAAATGTTTGATTTTGGCAAGGATAATCCCATTTATTTGTGGCTACCGGTGGAGGAAAAGGATATGGGTCATGGGAGATTTTTGGAGAAGGATTTCTATGAAACCTTAGCTGAGATGGAGGACCTGAACATTCCCCTTTTGATTGGCTATACAAATGGCGAGTTTTGCTCCTCAGCCAAGGATATTTTGAGCGATGAGAAATTAAAGGCGGAGCTGGAGGCAAATTTCTTTGGCTTGGCCTCCCGAATATTTGGTTATGAAAATTGGCCCCGCCACAAGGAAATAAGCCAAAGGATCAGGGAGCATTATTTTAATGGCTCTTCGTCGTTCTCCACAGAAGATTTTGACGGGCTGTGTGATTTATTTTCGGATTCGTTGATACGCTTTGGGGCCCATCGCACTGCCCAGGTGGCCAGCGAAAAGGGCGCGGATGTGTATTTCTATGAGTTTCGCTACCAAGAAAAATCGGGTGGGGTCGATAAGGATTTCCCAAAGAAAAAGGGTAGGATTTTTGAAAGGAAAAGGACCTCAACGAAGAATCTGAAGTGTTTTTTTCTATAATTTCAGATCGCGTGGAACACATGCAGGACTTGCAGTATCTTTTCAATTGGTCGCACAGGCCCCAGGGAAATTTGTCCAAGGAGGAGTTGGCTATTATTGGACTCTATACGGACTTTGTTTTCGATTTCGTTAAAAATGGGTAATAATTGATTCTTTTTCAAAATTTTGAAATTTTTATTCTATTTTTTTCTAATTTTTAGAAAACTCTCTCACAAAACTGCCAAGACTTATCCGTCAGGCTATGCCGTTCTGGACAAGGAATTGGAATTTAAAGAGGGCATTAATTTTGAAAATTTGCCATTTTGGTTGGAGTTATTTAAAGGCGAGAAATAAAGAATAATATAATTTTATTTATTTTAATTTTTAAAAAATCCACGTTTGCGGATTCTTTGAAAAAATAATTTTTAAAAAATCCACGTTTGTGGATTCTTTGAAAAAATAATTTTTAAAAAATCCACGTTTGTGGATTCTTTGAAAAAATAATTTTTAAAAAATCCACGTTTGTGGATTCTTTGAAAAAATAATTTTTAAAAAATCCACGTTTGTGGATTCTTTGAAAAAATAATTTTTAAAAAATCCACGTTTGTGGATTCTTTGAAAAAATAATTTTTAAAAAATCCACGTTTGTGGATTTTTGAAAAAAAAAAATTTAAATCCAAGTTTGTGAATCTTGTGAATCAACGAAAGCTCCCATCCAATCTATCTTGATTCGAATTTATTTCCAATCTTACCTGTGCACCGCTTATACAAAATACAAAAATAAATATTTCCACAATGCGAGTGGGCATTACCTGAAATTAAAAAATAAACAATCGGTTAATCAACTGCTGAAGTTGGGGTAATAAATTTATTTTTAATAAAAAGAAGGCCATAAACATTTCGTTGAGGGGATTTTGAATGCATAATCCAAAAAAAGTAAATATTTTTCTCAAAAACTTAACCCCGAGTGACCTTTCCAGAAATATTTAGCAAAACAAATAATTCGCATTCCCTTGAAACAAGGGAGGCAGTTCATGAAGCGAAAGCCAAAAGGCAATGACTGGGTGCCGCCACAAATCCCAGTCATAAAACCGGTTTCGTTTTTGTTTTTGAAACAAAACATAAGAGGTGGTCGTTTGCGACAAGTGTTCTGTTTTTGTATTGAAATGACTAACTGTTATACAAAAAAAAAAAAAAAAAAAACAACCAGGCTGTCACTTGAACCACTGAAACACATTTACCAGACATTGAACTGCTTGAATGCACTCTAAAGCCAATATTCAATTACAACAATAACAGACTGACCGAAAATTCGTTGCACTAGGAAATTACAACAAATAAAAAAATTAAAACAGAAAAAAATATTAAAAATATGTTTTAATTGCCTGGCTGGAATAGGAAACCGCTCAACAATTGGTAAATCAAAACAGCTGCACGAAATTGCACAACTGATAAACGAGTGCTGGAGAAATGCTAATAAAATTGCCACAAGGTTATTGACAATATCGATGGAGATTTATCTGGGTGTGTGTGTGTGTGGAAAATCACTTTCCAACTGCCAGCGGTGAGGCCAACGGGCAGTCTAGTCAAATATTATAATTAATTAGCCATAGATAATAATTTATGGTCAATATTCAAGTTGTTCAATTGTCGGCGTCATTGCGGAATATGTGAATGGGAGTCGGTGAGTGGGATAATTGAATTCATTTAATTTCATTATAAAAATATTCAATAACAACCTATGGAAATTAATGAGAATTATAATATGGTCGACAAATGGAGGCGTCACAAGTCGGCTCATTATTCATCACCTGGTACAGTTTAATGCAAACCAAGTAGGAGAAAGGCTTTTATACATTCGCCAGGTGGTCTAGGCGTGTTAGAAATGCAAGAAATAAGATAAATTCGCAAAAAAATGCAAAAATTCTAAGAAAAATAACTGTTATACAAACTGTTATACAACTGCTATACTCTCGGAATTTGATTTTATACTAATTTTAACAAGAATTGTAATGAAATACAGTGAGTTTTGTATAATATAACAGTTTTAGAAACTGTTATACAAGTGTTATACTTTTCTACAAACTATTATTTAACTGACACACTAATCAAGATCGATTTTAAAATGACACCAAAAAGGTTTTTTTTTCATAACATAACAGTTTTAGAAACTGTTATACTTTTATACAAACTGTTATACTCATCGAAATCGAGTTTAGAAGGATACTAAAAAGAATTTTATTAAAATTCAGTTAATTTCAAAAAACATAACAGTTTTACAAACTGTTATACAGCTGTTATATTTTTATGCAAACTGTTATACTTATCGAAATTCTTTTTTTAATGATACTAGCAATAATTTTATTAAAATATGGTTAATATCGCCAAATATAACAGTTTTGATAACTGTTATACAACCGTTATACTCTCGAAATTCGATTTTATAGGGATACTAGCAAGAATTGAATTGAAAAATGGTTAATTTCGTATAATATAACATTTTTAAAAACTGCTATACAACTGTTATACTGTTTTGCGAACTGTTCTACTCATCGAAATTAGTTTTATAATGAAACCAGCAAGAATTTTATTAAAATATGGTTAATTTCGAAAAATATAACAGTTTTGCAAATTGTTATACGACTGTTATACTTTTATACAAACTGTTGTACGCAATGAAATTGATTTTATAATGATACTAGCAACAATTTCATTGAAATATAGTGAATTTCGCATATTATAACAGTTTAAAAAAGTGTTATACAACTGTTATAATTTTATACAAACTGTTATACTTATCGAAATTGAATTTATAATAATACTAGCAAGAATTTTATTAAACTGCAGTTTAATTTGTAAAATATAACAGTTTTGCAAACTGTTATACAACTGTTATACTTTTATACAAACTGTTATACTCATATAAATTGATTTTATAATGATATTAGCAAGAATTTTATTAAAATATGATAAATTCCGCACAATATAACAGTTTTAAAAAATGTTATACAACTGTTATACTCTCGAAATCGGTTTTATAATGATGATGAATGATACTAACAAGAACTTTATTAAAATTCAGTTGATTTTTCAAAATATAACAGTTTTACAAACTGTTATACAACTTTTATACCATTATACAATCTGTTATACTTTTTGAAATTAATTTTATAATTTTTAGTAAAATATAATATAATTTTAATATAATTTTAATAAAATATGGTTAATTTCGAAAAATATAACAGTTTTGCGAACTGTTATACTCTCGGAATTAGATTTTATAATGATACTAGCAAGAATTTCATTGACACATAGTGAATTTCGCATAATATAACAGTTTAAGAAACTGGTCTACAACTGTTATACTTTTACACCAACTGTTATATAACACATATACTCACCGAAATCGGATTTATAATGATACTAGCAAGAATTTTATCAAAATTCAGTTAATTTTGAAAAATATAACAGTTTTACAAACTGTTATACAACTGTTATACACACGAAACATTGTATAGATTACTATAAGAGTATTTCGACACGTTTAAACTGTAAAACATATGCTAAAACCACAAAAATGCAAAAATGTTGTAAAGAATAACTGTTATACAAACTGTTATACAATTGTTATACTCATCCAAATTGAGTTTGCAATGATACTAGTAAAAATTTCGTTGAAACACAGTCAATTTTGCAAATATTAACAGTTTTACAAACTGTTATACAACTGTTATATTCATAAAAATTGACCCACACAGTGGTGTACATTGCGGACTATAAATGTTAAAACTGTAAAAACAAGCTACTATCACAAAAAAGGCAAAAATATAGTAAAAAGTAACTGTTATACAACTGTTATACTTTTATACAAACTGTTATATAACTGGCATACTCATGGATATCAGTTTTAGAATAATACTAAAAAAAATTCTATTAGTTAATACAGTTCATTTTGTAAAATATAACTGTTTTACCAACTGTTATACAACTGTTACACTTTTATAAAAACTGTTATACTCATCGAAATTAATTTTATAATGATGCTAGCAAGTATTTTATTAAAATGTAGTTAATCCTGTAAAATATAACAGTTTTACAAACTGTTATACAAACTGTTATACTCCCAAAAAAATGTGTAGATTACCATAAGAGTGTCTAGACATGATAAAACTGTAAAAAAAACTAACAAAATCTGCAAAAATATTGTAAAAAATAACTGTTATACAAACTGCTATACAGCTGTTATATTCAGTAAACTTGATTTCATAATGATACTATGGTCTAGCTTTAATAACACTATATAAAAAAAAAAGAAATAAACTCAAGAAAATTGTAAAAATTTTGCAAAAAGTAACTGTTATACTCACAAAAATTGGTAATTGAAGATTTCCTATAAATAGCCTAAATGAGCCGAAAAATTTTTGATTTGATTGCAAATATCTAACTGTTATACTGTTTATATGTTATACTGAGCCGAAAAAATATTTTTGTAGTCACAAAAATTAAAAAACAAAATATTCTCACTGAAATCCTAATTCAATCGGTCTTAATTGAAGAGGTTGTTTAGAAATAATAATTTAGCCTATAAAAATGCAAATGGTGTAAAATAAACTGTTATACAGCTTTTATTTTTGGGAAAATTAATATTTTCTCATAAAAATCTTAATTCAACTGGTCTGAATTGACAGTTTTCTATAGAGTTCCTCATTGAGCCGAGATAATTGTGAATTTGGTAAATAGGTAACTGTTATACAAACTGCTATACTCAAGAAAATCGTTTTTATAATGATATTAGCCACAATTTTGATAAAAAATAGTTCATTTCACATAATATAACAGTTATGCAAACTGTTATACAAACTGTTATACTCACGAAAATGAGTGATTTTGTAATATTAAACATAATTAGTACGAAATTATGCTATTTCTTCATGTAATGCCGATTATAAAGGGGTGTTACTAAACTGTTATGCCAATAAAAGCGGTTTTTACAGTCATAAATATGATTAAATGAAATTCAGGTGAAATACTCGTGATTTAAACAATTTCCTCCTACACTTTGCCAAAACCTGAATTTGAAAACATTTCCTGATCTGACGTTACAACTAAATTATTTTAAACTGTTATATTCAACCACAATAAGTGTTATACACACTGTTATACTCACGAAAATCATGTTTATGATGATATTAGCCAAAATTTCGTTACTGAAATAGTTAATTTCACAAAATATAACAGTTATGCAAACTGTTATACAAACTGTTATACTCACGAAAATGACTAATTTTGTAATATTGAACATAATTAATACGATATAATGCAATTTTCTTATGGTATACCTATCACCAAGGGTGTTATAATACTGTTATACCAATAAAAGCTAACTGTTATACTCCAAAAATGGTTTATATTGCGTT